TTACTAGTAGTAACAAGAATATAGTAGAAACAAGGGACAAGTCGCTTCTGTATCGGCGACTAGTCTGTCGCATCTCCAGGTCTCGACCTTCTCCGACCGAGCCCGCTCAGTGTCTCTCCCTGCGCAGCATCTGGAGGTGTCGGTTCCTGGGTTCCTTGGCCTTACTACTAACATGGACGCTACTAGGAGCAAGGGCATCGCTACTAGGAACAAGACGCTACTAGTTACATCTAGTTACTAGTAGCTCCTGGCCTTACTACTAGAAACAAAAGGACCCTACTATAGGAGCAAAGGCTTAGGGCATCGCTACTAGTAACAAAGGGCATTACTGTACCTCGATTCGACCTCGAATCAATGGGATGGCCATGTGGGATATGCTGGTCGTGTGAGATCAACGAAACAAGTGGCCTGAACAATCTCCAGGTAGACTTTTCTAGTAGATCAATCTGCCTATGAGCCTGTCTGTGATTTGCAAGAAGCATGCTGAAGACTGGGTGAAACAAGAGGTGCCTGTGACAGAGCTCTGGAGTATGCTTGCACGGCCTTTATAGTTTGCTATGTAACTCTGAAGAGGGTTGCCATTGGTTGTCATGGGGATTCCCGGGATGTTTCTGATGAAGTTCGTTCTCCTAAGACCCCCTCATATCCGTTTTGAACAAATCGGAAAAAGCCGTCGGTTCATGAGGCAGTTCTTCAAGCGCCCTAGGGGCTCAGGAAAAAAAAAACAGACTAGGCAAAGCTCAGGGATTTGGAAGTGTTTTCTCTTTGTCGCACACATGGTTGTGCATGGCAAGGAAGCCAGCCACAACAGTGTCTAATCATATCGGGCTCACGCTGAGCTGCCTATATACCGGCGCTGCCTATCGCTGAGGCCGGCGCTGGTGAGACCACCACGGCCCATCACCAAAGCTGTGACGGGCTCATTGGACTCCTCCTCCTCGGAGTCGCGAGGTGGTCTCGACCTCAACCAGGACACTCTCCAGGACACAGCGGCGCTGGAGCGGCGCTGGTGGTCCGATCCACGACGACTTTTGTGACTTCAACACCAAGTGGGACAAATAAGCTGCAAGGAGTTGCCGTTTTTTCTCTTGAAGATTCGATGATTCGGAAATTCTAGAAGTTTCATTGATCATTGATCTTTAAAGGGACGTCAGGTATGCTGACCACACTTAGGATCTCCCATTCTTAGGACTGTGCTCTGAGAAAGCGTAGTGTATATTTTTTACATACCAACAAATCATCCCAAATCTATCCGAGTTTGTTTGATACATATGGCATGGGTTATCCTGAATATACTTTCTGTCAGGATCATTCAGGATAACCCATTATTATCACGATGAATACATAAGGAAGGAAGGAAGGAAGGAAGGAAGGAACCCCCGTGCCACCTCCTACTCTACATTCGGTTTGGCTGGAGAATGCACTCCTTTTCAACCCTGGTGAGGAAATGTGAAGAAAAGGCACCTGCGCGTGAATATGAAATACTCCCGGATTAAACATGGACACGTTTTGGGTTACTGTAGAAGTTCGAGTTACCGAACATCACAAGTTTAAGATGCATATCCATAATGTTTTGTTGATCCCCGAATGGTTTGTTGATCCTGATGATCATTTAATGATCATTTGTTTGATGCCCCTGACCTATATGTATCAAATAATATGTGTAGATATGTATATATGTGTATATGTGTATGTATACCTTAGATGTTTGCAGCTTTCGTCCAACTCATGTGATCATTTATGTTCAAGATCCGAATCCTGACAAAATGCGCGTTGCCGGTGTTTGTGGAACTTGGGTGCCTATTGGATTTGGCAGGAAGAACCTGTATCAGGCTGGTTTGAGAAGGGTGGGCCACCAAAAAGGCTAAAGGTCAGAGGTGTGACACGGCCAATTCAAGGCGAACATTGTTGCGGTATTTGCTGAGAGTGAGATTCACAAATACATACAAAATAGCGAGAAATGAAGAACGGCTAGGCTCGGCTAGCGGCTTTGCTATGCTTTGCTATAAGATATTGACCTGGTTCGATTGCTTCATGAAGATGAACAAGAAGCTACTAGGGGCTCCTGGCATCGCTACTAGGAACAAGGACGCTATAAGGAAGCTACTAGGAACAGTTTGCATGAGACCTTGTATTGGACTCGGGGCCCTGGCGCTCGGCATGTTGAAGGCCCCGAGATGGAGATGCGGACGGTGGACCCGGAGGCATTTCAGCAGTCTGAAATAGAATCATATAGAAGCTTCTTGCTCCTAGTAGCGATGCCAGGAGCCCCTAGTAGCGTCCTTGCTCCTAGTAGTAAGGCCAGGAGCCCCTAGGAGCGTCTTGTTCCTGGTAGCGTCCTCTTCCATTGGGAAGGAGTAATGATATTGCTTTCACACCAACTGTGCAGCTAACATTTCGCAGGGTCAAAGGGTTCACTGTCGTGGTTGCGTTGCTCTATTCTATGCTATCTCCATGTTTTTTGCCCGGCCTACGCCAGACACCACAAGCAAGGGGAGATTCGTGACTTGATGACTGTGCAAAGCACCGGGCAAGCATCACCTGGCTTTGCCTGCTGACCTGGCCTGCTCCAAGATTGTGACACCGAAACTGAAACCTTGCGGCCTTGTGGTTGCAGATCGCAGCTCAGGCTCAGCGGTCCACGGCTGTGGGTCCAGCAAAACCACGTGATGAGCACCGATAGAATGACCTTGTGATGAGCACCTTTTGCAGGTAGCCATGGCCTTGCAAGAGTTGCACCTCGCTGCCGGTCGTTTGCAATCGAGGCACGAACCGGCATGCGAACCGGCATGCTTTGAGTTGGCTGGTCCGATAGGATAGGAAAGCATGCCGCACGCCTGCCTACATTCTTGCATCCTCGCAAAAGGACTCCCACATGGCCCAAGCATGTCCAAGCAGTGAATATGACAACGATGTAATCTGTGTACCTCTAAATTGGATTGTAATCCGGGTGATGCAGCACATTGGCCTGCACCATTCTTGCCCGTGAGTAAAGCATCGCCAGGTTGGCCAATCCTTCAGGCCTTTGTTCCATTCGGTGTCATTGAGCAAGAGTGTCGTCATCTCAACTTGTTGCAAATACGCAAAGTTCAGCCCCAACTGTGGTAGCACTTCAGGGAGCAGTACTTCAGTTGCTGCTGAGACAGTTTCTCATGGTTGTCCAATGTTTGTTCACATCGCTTCGAAATGTTGCAGGGCCTTGCAGGCCACCCATTCTTTGTCGATGAGAGACGAACAGTGAGCCCAAACTGACTAGACTAGACCCGTGGCTTCACAACTCCAACTTCGCTCCGATTCTTGGAGTTGTTCGGCAGACATTCTCATTCAATTTCGACGGGTGCATCTCTCATTTGCTGAAACAGACGCACACGCGAGAAGGCCCTTTGCTGGCCAGCTTGGAGCACTTGGAAGAGGCCATCAATGAGGCCTGCGCTGGGACATGCGTGCGGAGATGTGCGGTGTGGGTGGTGCTTGTGTGGGCTTTTGTGACTGCGGCCTTCCGTGGCCTGCCTCCCAAAATGCTGTTACTGACTGTCAAGCCCAGCCTGGCCCAGGCAAGCCGCCTAGCACAAGGCTGACGAGCAAAAGGGCGCGGTAGCTGTTCTTGAGGAGGAAGCAGCTGAAGTTTAAACCGAGACAAGATGAAAGCATTTGCTAGATGTTTTATCACTGTTTGAAGAACATTTTTTGTGCCATTGTAAAGCAGCTCTGAACCACTTGTTTTTCCGGATGTTGGTGGGTCAAAGCTGTGATTTCGTAACGACACTAGTGGGCTCAACGTAGGCAAGTGCACCTGGAACCTCGTCACAGTCTTGTCACTCGGGCATGCCAAGTAATGTCCGATGGCCAATGCAAATTGCATTCGGACGATTTCCAGCTTGTGAGCTATTTCTGCTGTTGCTATCTCCTTTTCGGCTTTGATACTGCGAGATGTCCCATGCAAATTGGTCCATTGTTCTTTACAGAGGCTGAAGCTCATTGGTCCTTCGTACTATGTCATATTATTCTTCTTTGCCGAAGCCACGCCAGCCATGTTCCTTGCAGATAGCATTTTTCCGCGAATATTGAAGCTTGTCACTCACCAGTAACTAAAAAAAGAGCATTGCAGATGCGGATGCTAGTGAACATTTGGAATTGCTAGGGTGTTAGAATCTTGCCGGCTTGTGCAATGACGAGCCCTTCGTTGCTTGTTGGGGAGGAGGTGCGGGTAAAGCCTCAGTTTAGTCGGCTCAGTGGACTTCCAATACACTCCCTGGAACTATCATGGAAGTGGAAAAACGCTCCGTTTGTAGAGTAAAATCAGGAAAATTGTATTTCAAGGGGCCATTTCCACTTCCGTGTTAGTCCCAGGGAGTGTTTGTTGTTTGAATTGTTTGTGAACAGCTTCTGGGTCAACGCACTACTGGACCACAATTGTTTCTCGAGGAGGTACCAAGATTGCCAAGGAGACAGGGTGTCAAGAGCATCTTATTGTTGGTGAAGTTGCATGCGATGTGAGGACCTGTTTCTGACAGAAGATGGTATTAATCGTATGCCAATCACTTGTGACTGCGACCTTGTTGAAAGATGTTTGACAGCAGGGTGGGGATGTCACAAATCTTTTGAGTTACAACAGCACAATCACCGCAACAGGTTCAATCATAGGTCCAAACTGAAATAGTTGCCTAGCGTCGCAGGCCTTGGTCACACCCTTCTTGCACGCAGCCGACCTTTTAGCGCTTGTGCCTCGCTGATGGAGGAACTGTCACTGGGTTTCTTGGGTTTCTGAAAGGCAAGTGAATTCATGAACTATAGGGCCGAAGAATTTGGAGGAAGTATTGAGCATTGCATTTGAGGAGGTAGGCTATGATAGGCTGGTTTTGTGAATTAATCATGGGTTTTGGTGATACTTTTGTGACTTGATTCTGCTGCTTATTAATTGTGACTTGGCTCTTGGGACCTCATCCGTGTTGATTCCTCGCTGACTTGTCCCTCAACCGCCAAGTCTTGAGCGATGTTTGAGGCACGCACCAGCAGGGCTGAGTGGACCAGAGCGCTGGAAGTCGTCCGAGGGCGCTTCCTGTCGACCACTTCGAAGGTGCACACGTGGGGGAAGTGGCGCTAAGATGTCGAATGGAGGGGAACAGCAGAAAACTACATATAAAATCATATAAATACTTCATATTTGACACTCCGGCCAGAAGAATGCTTGAAATCAAGTGCTCTTGTTTTCCTGTTTTCAGGAGCGTTCTTGCATGCAGTAGCGAAGTTCAAAATCTACAGTATACAAGGCAAGCATGGTTTCGTTCTTGCTAGCTGCTAGCCGCTGCTAGCAAGCTTGCTCGAGTCATATTTGTAAGGTTCATTGCAACCAACATGATGCAACAATGACAGCCCTAGACGTTCTAGCTCATTGACTCCAGCCTACATCCAAGCCCTTTAGAAGCAACACAATGACACCTTCAGCCTATTGACTGGGAGGATCGTGAAAAAATGCAACTGTAAGTCTTCCCTAAAATGTCTTCCGGAACTGCAGTTCTTGCCTAGACAACTGAGTGCGTTCAGAGTTGTACTTTAGATCATCATACTTGCCAAACATGGGGCGACTTCAGTTTGCTGGTGCCGGCTTGCTTTTGGCACATCTCCCTTTGGCGCCGGTCGGCTGCCTTTGCGCGCTGCTTGGGGTTGGTCTCCGACCACTGCGGAGACAAGCTCAACATCGGAGCAAACGTCCTTCGCTTCTGAATCTACCCGTGCCGTGGAGGAGGTGTCCAGCACACTGTATTCCGCTACCTCAACCAGTGCTTCCTTGGCCTCTTCAACTGGCGACTAGTCGGCAGTCATTGTTTTTGTTGGTGATGTCAGTTTAGTGTATGTTTGGTTGCTTGTGGAGACATTTGAATGGCTGAAAGTATGTGCTATGTGTGTGGTGATTCTCTTGTGGATGAAGATTTTGCGACTGGCAGGCCGAAGTCAGCTTCACACCAGTGGCAGCATAGTGGCTCTATTTCCGCTGACGATATTTTCAATAGTGATTTTACGACTAAGCTCGTAGCACCCTGTGACACTCATCCCGTGTGGATGTTGATTGAGCATGGATGGTCCGCTCTCTGATGGGGCAAGTGCCCCAACCTCGTCGGATGGACACCGTTAAATCAAAGCCCCAAAAAGGCTCAAGACATCCGAAAACGGGGAGAGTATGCCCTTGTTACTAGTAGCTTCTAGCTACTACAGTAATGACCTTGTTACTAGTAGCGATACCCTTGTTTTCAAGAAATCACTGGAAAGGTTCGAACATGCCCTAACGTCCCGCTGACTGCCAGCATGGAGCTCGGAAGATCCGTGGCAGATTCGCATCGATTCGAAAGAGCAAAGATTCGCAGGTTGAAACAGTTAAGATCAAAGATTCGGCCACTGGACGGAGTTTGAAACACATAGTAGCGTCCGATCGCTCCTAAAATGGATCAACATTTGTACGCTGTTTGCTCATGGTACGTCCGGCATGCAATTCCTTTGCACATTGCAGTCTTTTCGCGAAGTCACTCCGCAGACCCCCCCAGTTGCTTCGCCTTTGCTTAGAAACAGATGAGCGTTGGACGACTCCCCTTTGTTGGCGCTGGTCTTTTGCTGGTTCAGCTGTTGCCCTTCTTCCTTGGGTCGCCTTCGCAAGCCAGTTGGGGATGGTCATCTGATGAGTCGGGCGGAGGTCAAGGCGACGCGAAAGGCAACGGCATCGTCGTGACTGCAGGCGGGATCGGTGGGATTCGGTTGCCTTGGCCTCCCACCTAATTAGAAGCGAAGGCCTCCAACCGTTGGATCCCATGGGGAAGTGAAGATGCCATGGGTTTCGCCATGTGTTTCCTTCACGTCGCCATGTTCGCCACAATCCTGACAGGTGTCAGCACAGTCCTAGCAGCAGCCTGTCAGTTAAGCTGAGCCAGAGCTGTTTGGAGCCATGCTTTGGAATCTTCTGGGCTGTTAGCAGAGGTGTGAATGCACCTAAAGAGGATCCAAACATCATGCCGGCCAACCTTGGCCCTTGGCCATGCATTTCTTTTGGGAGTTCTTGCTCCAACCCGCGAACACAGCTCTCCCAAGAGTGCTTTCGCTTCTTGCAGAATCGTAGCAGCATGATGAAGCAGCAAGTCACTTGAGCAGCCATGCGTCTAGTCCAGGAAAGTCCAGGAAAGTCCTAAAGTTGAGGACTCACAACTTGCGACCGTTGTGACAACCAAACATCTACCCCGACATACCACAACAGCACCGAAGGGAATGGGTTTGTGGACGCTCCATCGTCGCCTTAGCTACAAGTAAAGGAGTATCTGACAGGTGGTTGCAAGTGCTTGGATCTTTCTGGGCATGTCAATTTTCACATGCCTCAACATCACACCGGCTGCTGCCCACAAGGCCAGATGTGTAGAGAGAAAAAGGCCGCAGAGCAAAGTTCAGAGAGGATCACAGATCGCAAAACACAGAGACACACAGATTGACATAGATGCCCAGTTTCTCTTTTCACTTTGGAGTTCGAAGTATGCCGTCCTTTGACATGTGTCATGACCCGTGATGCGTCATGCAGCATGGTCATGCTGCCTTAAAACAAGAACTACGAAGTGTCTTTGAACGGAGTATTTGGTCTTGAATATGTCTTTATATACATAGTATCACGTTTTGCTTCTTTGCTTCTTTTAGACAGTTCTTTAGACACGTTTAGGTCTCGGACATTGCTTGGCCCTTCGAACGCTTCCACATCCAAAGACCCTGATATGAGCTGGTTGGTCTTGGACTACCTGGAAATCGGATGAAATCGGATCACGTCACGTGTGACGTCACCACCGTTTCAGGCCCCGTTCGTCTTGAAGTCGGAGAATCAGAAATCCGCTGCCCTCCGTTTCCTGCCACTCTGGGAGCAAGCACTGCTCTTTGAGCACCCTCGACTGCACAGAAGCTGATTTATCATGCTGCCACTGATGTCACTTCTTTGATTTTGAACTGTGGTTCACTGGCGTGCCATGCCAGAACAAAGCAATATACATGACAACGGTTTGGCAATGGAGTCCGCTACAATGTACAAAGATGTCAATGTGGCAAATGGCAATGGAAAGCCGGTCTTGACATATATATGTTGTAGATTTTGCAACTCACTCATCTCTATATAAAGGACCACAAACAATGGTCTTGGGTTTGCTTCTCCAAGTGCGATGCAGCGATGCACAAGTACAAGGTGTATTATATGATCGGATTGGGTGGGGGGCATGGCTCAGGAACTTCCACGATGAGGAGCTTGGTTGCCATTGGCACAACTATCGCTCGAGTGGCGCCCTACGTCGTTGGTCCTTCCGGAAGAGTGAGGCCACTGGGGCCATTCAGTGGTCTGAGTGAGCTGCATTGCGACAATATGGGTTCAATGGGTGCGATATGGATTGTTAGCGTCCTTGCTCCTAGTAGTAAGGCCAGGAGCCCCTAGTAGTGAACATTGCTCCTAGATTGTTTTCATATGTTTCATTCTGGTTTGCGATTATGATTCATATGTGTGATATGGTGCGATATGGATTGCGTCTTTCCTGTCCAATTCATGCAGGCACTTCACCCCCTTAGCCTGTGGTGTTTGGTGCTGCCCACCCGGCCTCGCGAGCTTGAAGAGGCGGATGGGCAATGGCCTCCAACCTAAGAGCAATGGCCTAAGAGCAATGGCCT